ACATACATACATACATACATACATACATACATACATACATACATACATACATACATACACCTTTCGTACACATGCTTTGTCGGATCGTCCTCGCTGCATCCGGCATTCCTCGGTCGGCCTCCTGCGCTGTGCGCAGGTGCGTGCCAGATGGGCGGATGAGACGACCGAGTTCAGCAGCAGGTGTGGTTTCACGGACGAAGCCAGTGGAGCTCCAGAGAGGTGGATAGTGACCTGAACTAGCACCCAGCTGAGGTACCGAACTGGGATAGTCGAACAGTCGGGTTCTTCAACCTCTGTTGGTTTGTCTCACTGACCAAATCACTCACTGACCGCCACTTTGCTTACTTACTAATCATGTGTCATGGCGGTCATGGTTATGGTTACTAACCGAACCCTCTCAACCGAAAGAATATCAGAAGAAGGGATGGGCTGGATGGGGCCCGTTGTTGAGCCCAACTTCTGAGCTCTCCCACGGCGGTTTCAGCGGGGGAGGCCATTCAACCGGGGTGTGTCCAGATTCTTGTGGGAGATGCTTTGTGGGACCCGAACCCCCCTCCAGCATCAAAGCCACACAGTTTCCGCATGGCCATGAGCGGCTGGAAGGACCAGTGATGTAGCCTCTGGACTTACTCCTCCATCCCCTGGAGCAGCCGTGTTGCTATGTGTTGCTCAAGTGTTTGAGTGATCCACATGGATAGAAACTGCTGCCAATGCATCTTTGAGGGGACACCACTTCAGGTATGCTGTAGATGGCATCCTCTAGACCACGAGGACCCCACATCATTCGCTCTATCACAGTATTTGGGGATCAATTGCTCCTGGCCTTCATACTAGGAACAAGAAGCTATATATTAGAAACAAGAAACAAATAGAATTATCGATGTTTGCTCAGGTATCATCTCCGGTGTTTGTTGGCCATGTTGGCCCCTGCTTTCCGACAGGATCAACAATCTGATCCTGCACACCTATGGCTCCTTGCCTCACGCAGTGAGCACGAACGACCCGCACCGCCGAACGACCCGCGCCGTCTCCGCCGGAAGGGGTGGAGTGAGGCTTCTTGCAAGGCACTTGTTCCTAGTAGCTTATTGTTTTTAATAGCTTCTTGTTACTACTAGTAAGGCACTTGTTACTAGAAGCGATGCACTTGTTGCTAGTAGCTTCTTGCTACTAGTAGTAATGCCCTTGTTACTAGCAGCGATGCCCTTGTTCCTCGTAGCTTCGTGTTCCGAGTAGGCGGCAACACAGGTGCGTAGCCGCCAGCCTGGCTCAGGTAGCAAGGCCGAAGAACTACTGTTGGAGGAAATGCTGCACCTTTTAGGAGCGAGATGCTGGTTTACACAGGGTTCCTCTTGAGCAAACCAACTCGGTTGTAGCGGAACAACACTTTCCATCAACAGTAGAGTTAGTAGATTCGAGACGCCCAACCATGGCCTGGCTGCCAGCACTGTCCTTGGCTGCCTTCGTGATTTACATGGCAGATCACTTGGGTGGTTGGCTCTCAGTGCGGCTCAGCTCCTTTCGGGAAGACAGTGGCATGGCAGATCGAGAAAACGAGAACAGGGGAAGGAGCGTCATGTTCGTCCTCTAGATTCATCATTCATTCCCATTTGGATTAAGAAACCTGTTTATAGACGGGACTTTTAATTAATCAATCACTCACCAAGAGTCATCCATCAAGAGTCTACACGAGTCTACATGACTGCCTGGAATTCATATCAGGAAGTATATCACTTCTTGCAACCTCCGATCCGAGACGCTTCGACACTTTGATTTGACCCAAATACGAAGCGAATTCGCCAGGTGTTCCAAGTATGAAAGGCAAGGTAGTCGTGGTCACTGGTGGCAACGCTGGCATTGGTTGGCACACGGTGCGCTTGCTGGCGGCCGCAGGGGCCAAGGTGATTCTGGCCTGTCGAGCGGTCCAGAAGGGATTTGAGCAGGTGCAGACACTCCCGCCGGAGGTTGCGCAGCAGGTAGAAGTGATGGAGCTTGACCTGGCGGTCTTCGAGTCAATTGTGTCTTAGAGTTTGTCAACTTGATTTTACGTGGATATTTTTTTATATCGCAGAAGAGCAAGATGTATATAGGTACACACACAAAAATAATTTATGCATATGCATATGCTGTGCACATGGTTCGTATATGTTGCTAGCCCTTGTGCGTCAGGTGGCATTTTCCAGAAGGTTTCAGGAAAAGTACCAGCAGCTGCATGTGCTTGTTCTGAACGCGGGGCTTGCCAAGACATTCCTTGGCAGTGCTGGCTGGAAGTTGACGCCAGAGGGTTTGGAGGAGATGAGTTAACGCCGGCCAATTCGTTCTGCCTACCTTTGAAGGAAGGAATCTGGCAGTACCTGAGATAGAGACGATGAAGGCAACGTGTAATTATGTATTTATGGTAGTTCCCGGTGGTGCAGGATTTCTTCCATCAACAGTAGTCCGGAACTATCCTTCTTCCACGTCCGCAGTTGTGGACATGTTCATGTCTTTTTGTACAGGTATGCGAAGAGTTGTGCACATCAGTACACATGCCAATACAGATAACCATCACCTAAGCTGCGAGATCATTTCACATCTTAGGAGCGTTGTGTGCCCCCATGCCGCATCAAGGGAACAACTCCCCGAATAGAAACCAACAGCAAAAAAGATCGCTCATAGTGTTCTTGAGCGGAGGCCAGCAAACCCCCCACGGAGACCAGCAAATCCTTCGTCCGGACTCACCGACTCCCCTTTTCTTCATTTGTTCTTTTCTCCCGTGGAGGAGATGGTGGGGGTCTCTTTCCTGGGCCACTACCTGCTGTGCCGGCTTCTGTTGCCTGTGCTCCGGCACGGGCACAGCCGGGTCATCGGGCAGAGCTCTGTGGCCATGGCCAATAGCTATTTGCGGGGCATTGATCCAAAGAGCTGGACCTCGAAGCCGCAGGCGGGAGAGGAATTCTCCAGTTCGCGGTTTTTGAGGGATCTCAGTTCGGAGCCAGTAGCGGAACGAGGAACCTGTGAAGATTGAAGGGGAGGAAGTAGTGGCAACAGTAGTGGGTGGTTCTGATGGGTGGTGGTTGGACGCAACTAGCAAAGTGCATCCAAATGGCTAGAAACACGTGCCCTGGGATTTGGGGGCTATTTGGGGCATTCTTTGGTGCGGGATGATCCCAGGTCGAAAGGGGCCCGGGCATCGGCGGCAACCTCCAGGGCCCGGCCCAACATGGCCCAAGCATTCCACACCAATTCAGCTGGCCGTACCCCAACGAATTCTGGGTCTGAATCGACCTGATTTGCAGGACTACCATGATTGGAAGCAGTATGGTCAGGCCAAGTTGGCGATGCGCCTCTTCATGACAGAGTTGCAACGGCGAGAGCCGGGGGTCTTGTGCTTGGCCAACCACCCTGGAGTGGTCGAGAACACCAGTTTGATGCATCCGCAGGGTGCAGGAATCGTGGAGAGCTCCTCGCATTCGCCGATTCAGAGGGGATTTTGAATTCGCCGATTCCGTTTTTGAAGCAGATCCAGGCTCGACATCGTGAGACATCAATACCCAGACACGACCTGTCTGGGACTGCCATAGATGCCGCCCCATTGACCCCCAAAACCACCCCAACTGATCGGCATATATGGCAGTCCCATGGAGTGTCTGGGATAGAGTGACACGTGACAGGCCGTTTGGGGCGCGACAGGCTATCACTTTTTGCTTTAGCTGTGACAGCCCAGCAGCTTCTGTGATTCAGGTGGTTGATCCACACATTCGTGAAGTTTTGCGGCCGTCATCCCAGTATCACTCCCTCCTGCAGGTCTTGATTAATTTTCAAGGGGCACAGGAGAAGAAAACGTTTTCCTCTACAAGTTACAAGCCATTCAGTCAGCGGTTTCAGGCATTTTTGATGCCCACCAGGCCTTTAGTTGGGGGTGCTTGGGCCCTGCAGGTCTCAATTGGGTGACCTGTCGGAAAGGGGTCACTATCCTGGTATATACATACATACATATATATATATATAATATAACACACGCCATATATGTAATTTTTTGAGCCATGGCCACTTGAGGATGGTACGATGCTTTGCTGTTCAAGCTTTGGGGCATGCGTGCCGCAGATGGTGGCCTCCAAACTGCTTGGCGCCCTGAACTGCTCATCAGGTGATGTTGTTGGCCTGCTTGTTTGCAGATTTTTTGCTCATTTTTTCCACTCGCTGACAGCCCTCAACCCCCTCGAACGTCCCATGAACAGATTGGGACACGCGTGTCCCGTTGCGACACTGCCCAAGGCTGGCATCCACCGCTGCGGAGCAGCTGCAAGGAGGGGCTTGCTACAAACCCATTGGCCGAGAAAGGCGCTTCATCTCCGATCCCCTGCAGCGCCTGGGAAACCTGCAAGCTCCGCTGCCCATGCGCACGGAAGCTCGGTATCACATCGGTGCTGACCGCGGGTCGATCCCTTTCGGTGTCCCCGGGGTGTGCCCCCCTAAATGACTTACGGAGCACGTACCAAAGCACTCTCTGAGATACAAGCGAAACATGCAAAACTGTGAAAATTCCTTTGGGTCTCGGTTTGTGGCAGGATGTGGTTGTCATGCTAGGATACCTTCTTCATTCGTCATATTATTCTTTTGATTGACAATGATTTCATTCATGCAAATGCACATGACGAATCAAGGAAAAAGGAAGACAAAGAGGACTATATATGGGATTTCATGTGATTTCATTGTATTTTAATACCCAAACACTCCATGTAAGGTATATTTACCTACATTGGGGTGGTTTGAGGGTCAACGTAGGCATATATACAGACATGGAGTGTCTGGGATATAGTATTCCTTTCTGGTTGCTGATTAAACAGGTTATATAAACTTCTACAACGAATTTGCATGTTCCTTTTCAGCGGATCCTCCGTTTCAATTGGCAACAGTCGATGAGTTCACTCAGACAACAGGGCACATCATTTTGAGAATCGGTGACAGGATAGCGAATAGACCGTTTCACGGTATGTTGTTTGTTGCTTGGCAGTGTTGTCCTTTGTCTCCACAGTTGTTTTTTTGTGCCCTGTACCTTTGTACCCCAATTGTGGCTTGATTAGAACATGAGGTTTGCCGCCTGAGCACTCAACTTTCAATTCAAGCCAGGACTTCCCAACTCTTTGGACGGATGCTGAGAATGTCGTCAATGAGAGGGCAGGTCGGAACCTCTTTCCAGCTGACACAGCGATACAACCTGCCCTTTGATTGTGTCATGCATTTCCAGAAGGGAAAGATGCAAGACTTGCTGTGAAGACCTCTTCAGCTACAGAGTTCACAAGCAGGAAAGGCAGCAAAAAGATGCAGCAAGTAGCATGCATGTGAGAGGCACAGTGCATGCTCGAAGAGGAGGTCTAGCCATTCAGAAGTCCTAACTGTGTGCGTTCCGGGGAAATGTGTGATTGAAGAATTGAAGACTTCGCCTGAAGTCGATCTCCAGGGAGACCAGGAGACACAGCAGGAAGGGGATGTTTCTCCGAGCGTGTCAAGACGGGCGGGTATGGTGGGTCTTCCCTTTGTTGGGCAAAGAAGAGAACCGGAAACAAATGACTGCAAGACATGAAACGAGTATTAAAGGACAAACAACATTTCGTTGAATTCGTACTTGTCCTTCTCTTCTTCGCAAACAGAGCAAGCGTTTTTGCTTGCTACCTTTGAGGCTTGGAAGTTGCAAGCTTAAACATATATGGTGAACAATACATTCCCGAAAAACTAACATGCACCCTGAGAGTGGCATCCTGAAAGACTGCTTTCCTTTACAGACCAGTGGTTTTCAGGGTCCATGTTAGTTTTCAGCGGAGTACATCCCAGACATTCATTCCAACCTCCAGCCTCCTGGTGGCCTTCCACAACGGCCAGCAGAAGGGATGACAGCTCCAGGAAGTGGTCTCATTAAATCTCCACATTAGGATTTTTTCAACACGATGCTGCCGGGAGTTTTTTCAACAAAGATCTACTGAAATACGCACATCTTCCGGGAAGCGGGGTTGCTCCATGGTTCGAGTGGCCTGCCAACCAATCTAGCCGCTGGCTTGCGCCTGGCTCCCATGCAGCTAGGGAACTTCTTGAAAAACTATATGCTAAATCAAGACTGCGCGGGTGGGAGAAGCTTGACCAAGACGTGTGCCATATGGGTTTGGTGTGAGCTGTCAGACCCTTTCTTGGGAAAGGCAAGCGCATGCGGAGATGGTGATCTTCATGGGCTCAGTTTCCCCCAAGGTTTTTGTGTCATGCACACAAGCCAGACATTGGATGATCTATGGGCCAAGATATGCCAAGATGAATTACCTCAAGGTGGCTTGATCAAAAGGATTTTAGCTTGCACCACCTGAACCACCTTCTATCACATCGTCCCTGCGAAGAAAGGGCAGTTCACCATGGTCCAAGGTGAAATCAAACAGTGCTACACCTTGAGTAGTGAAAAGCTCGGCGAGGGCGGCTTTGGCTACGTCACAAAGGCCGGCATGATTGGCCGCACTGCGGCCCATGGTTGGCCTTGTTGGGCCTGCCTGCGCACCAGGGCCTATGCAAGAAGTGCGCCATATCTCAGGGCATTTTGAAGCACCTGTCCTTCCATGCTCCTCTGCATGTTTGCCCCCCCTGTCTTCGGCTCGCCCTGTCTTCTCGGTTTCGAGTCCACGGTGCCAGGGCAGAAGTCTGGAGACTGGGAGTCACTACGCCGTGAAGAAAGTCTCCAAGGCCGAGAGGAACCTCCGACGGCGCCCGGTCTTTTGTTTGGGGTGAAGAACGCGTGGGTCCGATGGGATATATGAACCGTGGTGGAGCGTCATAGAGGGCTCGAGGTTTCTGGAGGTCCGGTTTGTGTGGGTCGGGTGGGGCGTCAGACCCAGAAAAGCGGTGAAAGAGTCTTCTTTTTGGCTGCCAGCATCCAATCATTCGGGCTTGCTTGGTTTGGAGCCCCTACCACCTTGCTGCCCCCCGCGCCAAGAAAAGCGCATGGAGAAGCCCGCCAGGCGAAAGCCAAGCAGCGGCGGGTGCAAGTCCGGAGCGAGATCGATGTCATGAAGCTGCACCTCGAACCGAACACCCCAAAAGGCAGGCACCCCTTGTTGTACATCCAATCCCATACTTTGGATCTGTCCCAGTAAACCTGCAACAGTCGGTAAAGAATCATCACTATTTTAGAGAAATGCCTGCAACAGAACCATCATCATCCACTGTTCCTGGTAATAGGGTAGATCCAAAGTATATCTACACTCCCTGAAGCCATCATGGGCCCACGTGGATGGCATGGCGTACGGAAGACCATTTTTGCCGAATACCAAACAGGTGGTTTCCCCATGTTTTCGCTCCATCTGTGCCTCGGAGTGTACCTGGAAGTCTTGAGGATCCGAACTGCGACGGCGCAAACAAACGGGGTACCTTTCAGTGACCTGCCGTAGCTTGAAGTGGATTCTTTTCCACTTCCGCATGCCCAAACGGTTCGGCTGGGGGATGTCTGTGGGCCGAACGGGCCGGTTCGGCACGACATGCAGGGACATCCCACCAATCGGAGACGGTTCTGCCAAAGCCCTGCATTTTGCCAGGAGAAGTCTATAGGGGGCTTCGGGCCTTCGAAGGGCCACTTTTAGAGGTTGCTACATGGCCAACAGCTACTTAGTGACTACTTGATCGTTGCCAGACCTGGTGCTTCAAAGGTCAAACCCAGCTCCCAGCTCCGGCGATCCACCTCGTCGGTCGAACGGGAACGTGGGTTCTGAGGACGGACCACCCCAACGTGGTGACGCTGCATGAAACTTTTGAGGACAAGTCACATCTGTACTTGGCCAAGTCCTCAGTCCCCACACTTGATCCCTGTCGGACGGACAACAAAAAGGTCGGTGATGCTGGAGTTGGGATGGAACATCTAGACATGACTCATGACGTTGGGTGTGGAACATCAACTCTTGCAACTCCTCCCTCATTTACCACAGTGAAAACCTCTTACTCTCACTCCTGTTCCTACTCCTACTCTCTCTCTCTCTCTCTTTCTCTTGCTCTTAGGGACTACAAATTGAACAGGTTGGGCTTTGAACTAGTTTCCTTCGCCTCTCGATGGTGAACTCTTGGGAACCCACGAGAGAGAAAGCCGCCGAACAACCGCGGGAAAGGTTTATGCGAGTGCCCACGAGTGCCAACTCCAACCTCCAATACAGTGATTTCAGAGTATGCATGTGTGTTCGAGCACCCGAAGATGTTTTTGGTGGTTTGGGGGTCCGTCCATCTAAACCACCCAACTTGGGGTAACTTGTGCCATTTCTCACCTCCGAAACCACTGTAGCTTCTGTGTTGGCGTCACTTGGGGGTGATACGGAGCACACCATCGCAGGGCTGAATCGAGCTCCCTGGGAGCTCGGGATCGGTTCTGGCACGGCACCCACTTTGTTTCCGCCCGCACAAGTAGCTTGATGTAGAAGGAAATGAAGTTGACACCCGAATCCAGCAGCGAAATCCCAGAGTGAGCTGCTTGTTTCACAGGAGTCTTCCACATGAGATCTGCATGTTTGGCCATGTGCCACATACTTGTCGTTGGCCACTCCATGCATGGTTTCCAGGTCTGGGGTGCTCACTGCATTCGGTCACGGCATCCATCCAGTTCCATCACGGGAAGCCCGTGCCCGGCGCCGGGTGCTTAACTGGTGCCCGGCGCCGGGTGCCACAGAATCTCGGTCCTCAGCGTGAGGTGATGGAGCTTTGTGGTGGAGGAGATTTGGACAAGCACATGCAGAGGCAGAAAGGCCCTTACAGCGAACATCAGGCCGGTGGCGTCTCGTGCCGGTTTTTCGGACGGCATGGACCCTGGCAATGAGGGGACCTAGGAGGGTCGTTCGAATCATAGGCTTCAGCAGCATGCGTTTGCTGGCGATATAGACCCGGCATTCTTTCGCTGGAACTGCCAACCGTTTGCCATATTTTTTGCCCTCGTCAAATCCACACAGGGCATGCAACCCCACCCGATAACCGGTGCCTCGAACCATGGAGGCAGCAATCCTCATGGAAACCCAGCGGGCGTCACTGTTGGTTTCATCCAGGTGGTTTCACTGTGGTTCACTGTTGGAGGCAGCAATCCTCATGGAGCAGATCCTCAAATCTGCCGCTGAGCTGCATGGCCGAGCTGCATGTCTCTCAACCTGTGCGCAGCGTGAGAGCCCTGTGATTGGCCATGGCAACTGGTCCTTCTTTCCATGTTGATGAATAACACCACACCCCATTTGGATGGCAAACACCTCTTCATATCAGGACTATTGATCATCAGTTAAGGGATTGTCGGTCTCAGATTTGCTGGGCGATTCGCGACGGCAGACGCAGACGCAGACGCAGACCGTAACCAACGCGACCCTGACTGGACTGGACCCTCCGCAAGCTTGGCTCAGGTGAGCTACTTGCACGACTGTAAGGGTATTTGCCGTTGACTCAGCCTTGACAACAGCACCGCGTGGAAGACCGTCCCTGCCACGTGGAAGACCCTCGTATTGCGACGAATTTGATTTGGCGCGCGCGCCCAATCAACCGCGGTGAGGCCATCGAGATCTCAAACCACACAACTTCTTGTTTTTGCGCCAGGCGGATCTGTCCCCCTTTTCCCGCCCCGCTCGGTGCCAGTCGAACCGTGCGCGTTCGTCGTTGGTTTTGGGGTGTGTGTTCGTCGAGGCGTCGTCGGCGTCGAGGACCGGCACGGAAACGTCCGGGAGACGACGGAGACGACGTGCCGGTGCTTTTTCAGATCGCATTTTCGAGCTTGGGTGCTGGTGCCGCCGCAAGGTGCCGCTGCTGTTCCAGTATGGGAAGAGCTGCGTGTGTGTATGTATGTATTCAAGCTTGGGTGCTGGTGCCGCTGCAGGTGCCGCTGCTGGGTCCGCTTGAGGTGCTGGTGGCGTGTCGCTGCTGTGTGCCCTTGCGGGCTTGTGCTGGTGCCGCTGCAGGGTGCTGCTCAAGGGTGCTGGTGCGGCATGTCTTTGGCCCTGTGCGCTTTGAAGCCCAGGTGCTGGCAGGGGGGCCACAATCTTTTTTTGCTATTGGGCTTATGCTGGTGTAATTTGGTGTGGTGTGTGCGAAGCAAGGTGGTGCAATTCTTGAAAAGCACTGGTGCCCAGCCACAGAGCCCCTTCAACTCAACAGGGTAGCTACTGTAACGGCCCTTTTGCCCAGACAAAAGTGGCTTTGGCAACCCCCAAAATTTTTTAGCATTCCCCAATGTTTGCAGGATTCATGATTTCATGCGGTCCAGGGCATGTAGCAGAAGATCTTCACGTTGGCCACGCCAGAGAAAGAGAGAGAGAGAGAGAGATTGACACATGACATTGTGTAGAGTTCGAGAAAGAACTGCAAGTGACTCTGCGCGCTGTCGCGGGCTTTCTTCTGGACCAGGAAATCGGCCCTCATCAAAGGAAGTTTAGTGTGCAAAGCTTCCGTGTTACGGACATTCAACAGCTGTTCAACCACCACTCATCATACACCACTCATCATACACCACTCATCATACACC